AGAAATACCCTACAGACAGAAAAACCAGGTCATCTGAGCCACACTAATCTATGTGCTTCTGGAGTTCAACCCATGGCTTGAGATAACTAAGACACCTAACAAATTAACACAAAAAACTTTTGTGCTAAAATATCTACACTTTTAATGAGACCATTAAACTGCAGCGAACTTTATTATGCCACGTTATTTGCACAGATACCCTTCAAGCAACAGCCTTTTCTCTCCTTTAGTTAGCTTACTTTTCACGGCAGTATTGCACATTAGTTTGCTTTGTATTTTCAGAAATAAGGGCAAATAATTCTATTTGGGCCTAGCACCAGTCTAGGTTGGTACAACATGAGTATTTCTTCCTTCCCTCTTTAAAGAGCCACAGGAACGGAAGCAGAGCTACAGTCAGCCCGTCCTTTCAGTTCTTGTACTGGGAAAGCAGTGGCACCGATGCCCATATGAGTTCACTCCCTACAATTTTCATCTGCCAAGTTAGAAGCAAGATAGAAAAAGAAATAGATTCCAGCACGTTGTAAAATAGCCCCAAACACTGTGGTGATGCCAGACTTGATTGTTTCATTCTTAGTCGCAGAATCAAAGGGGGGAGGGGGGCATCCCAAAGTTAGACATTTCAATAAAATCAACTCTTCTGTCTTCATTGAAAGACAGCTGCTTCACAGAACACAGTCTGAAGACTTATGATGGAGTATTAACACTTATATTTACCTTTGGCAAAATCTGCCCTGGTAGAACATTGCAAGCATTTTAAGGCCAACTAAACCCCAGATGCGTTACTTTGTCTTTTACTGCAATTCTCACAAAAGTCAAAGGCACACAAGACATTAAACTACCCAAACATCCTAAACCATCATAAGCATTTAAATATTTGGAAAAAAGTAACAAGATACAGGAAAACCCAGAACTTTTACTGTTGCTAACAATATTTTCTGTAGTTGCAGAGGTTCCATTTTTACCTGCCGATGCATACCTCAACTTTCGGTTTAGGACATAACACCTCCTATCCCTCAGGTCCCAGAACAAAGCAAAGCAGTGTTCCTTGTATACAATTCACATTAAGAACATATTTAAAACTACAGAACTAAGACCACTCTTCCCACAATGATAATGAAAATTGAGCCTGAAAATATTTTCCCATAGATATTTACAACCTATTAAGCTAAACTGCAAAGTGACAGCATAGCAAAACCCATACATTTTCAACACAGTAAAACACAACTACACGGTCCTTGCTTGACTTCTAACTCACGGGCAAACAGGTATTCAAATTCAGCCTTATTTGCTGGCACATTCAGCAGAAGTACATTATGTGATATAAACAAGATGGACTCGTTGCCCATTTCCTTGTTGAAACTTCAGCAAAATTAGTAAGAAACTCACGGAGCTACTGTTTTGATAGATAGAAGAAAGAACACAAACAGGAAAATTAAACAAGGCATGAAAAAAATCAGATGTATGGAAAATAGTATATTGGAAGCAGCTACATAAATGCTTGCTTGTCTACCCAATAAATTGGGTAGATCACATAAATATCTTCATTCTTTCCAGAAGAAAAAGGAAGTGTCTCAAGGAAAATTATTTCTTTAGCACTTCTAATCAGTGTAGAAAGTGGTCTTTATTTTCTCTAACTGGCTCAACAAGCACAGCAAAGTATGGCTTATTTACTCTTCTTTCTTTCTTTCTATGAGGCAACTTTAATAACCTAGTCACAACATGAAACCTTGTCTGCTTCTTATATTTAACCTTTCATCTACTGTAGTCTAAGTGTTAAAAAAATAATTTGAACTGTAATATTTTGGTATTTATTCCATCTATCTTCTAAATTTCAGTAAGAGTTCTCAATAGAGCAATTAATATATTAGTATTTTTTCTCCAATTAAAAGTATTACTCACAACTATGACCACAGCATTACACATTTTTAGCCAGTTTGTCAGTGTAGATCCTGATCAACTACGTTTTCTATTAGTACGCACTATTTGCTTTTATCAGCAATTAATTTTATCGGCTTTTGTATCTTCCAAAGAGAACTGCAAAAGTCCTTCAGTTCTTTGCTTTTACGCATACTGCTGGGACTAGTCAAGCACCATCTGGTAACTCTGTCACCCAACTGCTCACATCCCTTTCCCTAACACTTATAAAGGTATGAACTGACCTACTGATGGCATCCCCCATCATGAAAAGTGACTACACCGTTATTTAATCCTTTTATCCCTGTGCAGTTTCAGTCACTGAAATATAGGTAAACCATACCAATCATGTATGCTTCCTCTGGAGGTTTATCTACCTTTCATGGGATTTTTTATTATTTTTTTTTAAGAGATGAATAACCTTTTTATGAAAAAAAATCTGTATCTCCCTTTTCTTCAGTACATCACCACTTCTCCCTGCAAGCTCAGAAACTGAAAGAACAACAAAAGCTAAAGTCCGCATTCAAATACACATCTAAAATCCTGAACTCTCTTGCTCCCACTGTATCAGCTACTGGAAACCAGTATGAATCCTCAGAAACATAAGAGCAATACTACAATGTTGATTTACATAATTTCTTGGTTGATAATAGAATATAAAATATTTGGTATGTTAAGAAACCACAAAACAGACACACATGTACGTAATACTAGCTTATGAAAAAAAATCTTTCGATACATTTCTTTTCCATGTGACTGAAAAAAATCAAGCTAAAATTTGATAACATTTTAGTACTCACTATCTTCTCCTGGACAAGGCATGCCGGGTTTCTCTGGAATACTTGGGAAAACTGAAACAAAAACATTAGAGTTTTAAGTAAAAAGATTCTCAGTAGTACTTTTTCCTCAGTTCTTGAATATATTTACACAAAGACAGTTTCTGGAAGCCTTTAATTCTGCATAACAAATAACATAATCAATATTTGGGTTCATACTGCCAAGATCTTATACTTGACTACAGCACTAACAAATCTGTGCAGTTTATAACTTGAAGCCTCCTCAAAGCCTACAGTACAGTTTCAGCTTTGGGCTGCACTCCCAAAAGAACACTTTCTTCTTACAACATCAAGCTACAGGGCACCAGCTACACAAAGAATGTCATTTGACAGGCAAAGGAGTTGCTCCAATCTCAGATTTAAGAAGCTGTTAGGATTATCAACAAAAGCATACAGGTTCTTGAGCTGGGTAATACTTGCCATGAATTATCAGCCCTTCATCTCTGTTTTGACAATACAAACGGAAGGCTTCTTCCAGTTCCATCTGAGATGAGATGGTACATGGGTCACCTAACAAAAAAGGAATAAATAGGCAAATTTACAACTGAAGAATTAAGTGGAGAATTTCAATTAGTCCGTAAGAAATCTACCAGCCTCCAGGATTGGTTTTCCTTCAATCATTTGATATTGAGCTGGCATTTCGATCAAAGCCAAAATACAGCAACACTTTTTTTCCCTCTAATTTTATCAAAACTGGTTAGATAGAAATATACTATGTTGGTTTGCAACGGGACAACAAAATACAAAATTGAACAGATACGCTTTAAGCACACAGCAGAAAGCAGCTGATCTTTAACACACAGCAGAAAGCAGCAAGCTCACTTCCTAGTAACCGGAGAATTTCAGTTTAATTCAAAATTAGTCTGCCAAATGGCCCCTTATCTTACTACCTTAACTTCACAGACTGCAGAACCATGATATGATATGATAACTTAACTAGAATCTATGTATACCTTCATAGCTTTAAGTCTCTCTTGCTAGACTGACAGAAAAGCAATCCATGATTAAAAAGTGTAAAAAAACCAAGATACAGACGAAAGTTACAGATGGGATACAAATATGCCAACACTGATATAGAAATGTAATTAATGTAAAATTCATTTCCCTCTAAAGGTCTCTAAAGTTTCCAGGGTTGGCCTGTATGTTTTGAGGAACAGGTTCACATTTTTTTCTTTTAACTTAGATTTAGAAGAAAAGTAAATAAAAGGAAAAAAATAATCATGGAACCTGCCTAGCGACAAAGAATCCTCCCTTTCAGAAAAATACATGTTAAGCCTTAGTTCGTATGACTTTGTCCTCTGTACTCACATTCTGTAGAAGCAGATTCAACAAGGTGAGCTTTAAAAAGTTCTCAAAAAAGGCAGCATGCCAGCTGCAATTTAAAATGTATTCTGAAAAGCCTAACTACCGAAAGAGATAAAACAGAACCTCCCCCACCCCCCAAACTACGAGATATCATTCAGGATGAAATTCACATGGAAAAGAATAAAATAAATGGAGACAGAAGCATTACCACACACTAAGGGCTGGGCTCAAGTACCATGCCTTATCCACACCTCATTACCATTTCTCTCTGACATACACTACTTTTATATTAAGAAAACACGCAGGAATGCGAGTATTCAGTCAGGTAGGAGTGCCCCAAGACCATTATTAACTAGTAAGATTTGGAAGACTAAGAACTACCTGTGGCATGGATATTAGCCTTTAAAGCAGTGAAAATAAAGTAAACTCCATTTCTGTGAAGGAGAGACAGCCCGAAGATGGACTTCGGAAGACAGACTTTAAAGATGGACCAGCAGACTGGACTTCAGTATGATATGGAAGTAGCAATATGGCACATGGGTGACGTTCCATAAAACACCCACTGAATTCACTGGTTGGTGCCAGGGAAACAAAGCACTGGAAAAGCTCCTCGGGAGCACTGGAAGCTAAGCCACAACACACTCCACTGAGACCTACGTTTCAGAAGATGACCTTTCCAAGGTACAAATCCTAATCAGTTTAAGCAAGGACATTTTTACTTAATGTTAAACATCTGAATTGGAAGATAATATTTCTCTGGTTGACAAAAATACTGGTTTAATAGCCCATGATAACCTCTAGATCAGTGGTCTCGACTTTCGACTACATAGCTCATCATTAAAATTTTTTGAGCACAAACTCCCAATACGTCTATTTATAAATTACAGGTATTATAAAAACATACACAAAGATAGCAATTTTAAGAAGACAAGATAAATATATATAAATTTAAATATTTTTAGTATTACAAAACCCTCTTGAAATACTAAAAATTAAAAGTAATTTTACTGTGAGCTGTGTCACTGAACATTTTACCTTATTACTAAACAGAATTTAGTAAGTACCCTAAGCTGAGACATGTTAGAAACATCTGCACTTTCAGCCAACCATACATCAAAACTTCCCACACTTTGTTTTAACACTTGTTTCTTCAAACCTTCACCAGTATCTTCTATCCATCTTCCAACAGTATCTTCTGACAAAGGAACGCACTTCAGTTTGTCCCCATCTTGTCTTCGGCATATTACTCCAGCCATATTTACCACGAAAAAACAAACGAGCGTTTCCCCAACAGTACATGGCTTTTTTGTCGTCTGATATTAAGTAAGAAGCCTCAAAATGGGCTTCGAAAAACTTAACATGAAGTAAAGTACAAAAGTGAGTATCACAAGACTCAAAACATCACTGAAAGAGAAGTAGATGTTTGTCTTCTTGCTCTGGATACTTAGTTTTTAACTGTATTGCTAATCCTGATGGCTTCATACTATCATTATTTACTATCTCAAAACACAACACACACTTAGGGTGAGGCTCATCATTAAGAATAGCAGATGTAAATAGATATTTCAAATACTGCTCTTGATAATTTTGAATCTTTCCAACCGCTTTCTTGTCAGCTCTGATTAGCTTGTAGTGTGGCTTGATGGAGTTCATGCTCAGGAGAAATATTTTCTTGTGGTCTGCTTGTGCTCACATTAGCAGCGTTACCTTGTGAGGGTTATTTTAGTTAAAACTAGGTAATTAATCCATAAATCCACTTAACCAGGCACACGTAAACTGCAGTACGTCACAATACACTGAAAGCAAGCAAATGAGTGAGGGTGCCACGCTCCACCTCTGCAATTTTGTGGAATACTCACTCTTCCCTCGGCACACCGTGCCCCACATACGTGACACATGACCATATGATATATGGGCCAAGTGATGACACCAGTGTCAATTCATGTATTAAATCAAGTAAAGTTTAATTTTTTATTTTTAAAAATTATTATTGTTTTTAAAAGAGATGCACCCCAGGGTGCATCTACCCCTCTTTGAAGACCACTGCTCTTGATAATCTATAAATACTGCAATAATGCAACATGAAACACAGTTAATCATACTGCAAATCAACAATCCATATTGCTTATATGTTTATGTGATTTTACTAAAAGTGAGTTATTCATAGTTCAAACATTTTTGTATTTTGTCAAAAAAACAGAGAAACACTAAAAAAGCCCAACAAAAAAATCATTTTCTTCCACTCTTTGGTAGATTTTCTTTACCAGCTAAGCCACCAGTAATTGTCTTCAAGTTAGTTCACAGAGAACATGTTTGTCCAATCAGTCAAATGAATTTAAGTTACATGTGGCAATAAGAGGAAACACTCACTCATAAGCAGAAATAGGATAACTCATAAAACCTATGAGGATTGAGGGCAGCCAAAACAGCAGATTGGTTGAAACTTAACAATTTAAAAATCAGGAATTGGTAAGAGGGTTGTACAACCAGCCTAGAACCACAACCAGAAGTAACTGCTTATTAGAACTGCAACTAAAAAAAAGAATTTTGTTGTTTTAATTTAAGTAAAACTCGAGAAGCCAATGCATCAGATATCCAAACCAAGAAACAGTGAAACAGCAACCATGTTTTAAAACCCTCCAACTCAAAACTCCTGAGGTTTTCTTTCCTACAATAATCTTCCTTTTATTAGTAGTCATGTAGTTCAAATAGTCATTGCACATGCAATGTGATTATTCTCCATGCACTCCTGATCAGGTTACTTTTTATTAGACCGTCATTAGACTTTCCTAACTGAGGGTTAGGAAACCAAAGTCAGTACAGTTGCCTCTGTCTTGGTAATCAGAAGATAAAGAGTACAAATTTAAAAATAATTCATATTAGTCCTTGGCATCTTAAAAAGACCAAATCGTCTTTGACCACAGGCTACCTCCTTCCTCAATCATTACTTTGAAATTCCATTCACCCATCAAACCACGCTATTTGGTTAAGAGAGTAATACAGGCTATTACTTAAAAAAGCCAACACAAAACACAGTTACTAGTGTTAGTCAAACCAATTTCATATTTCTCCATCTTTCTGCATTCAGTTCTAGGCGTTCTGCCGCAGACCATGGCTTTGTCAAAGTGGAACAGGAAAATACCTGAGCACCAGTGCAGTTGTGCAACTGCACGATAGCTGTTCTCAACCTACTGGGTCAGGAGTTCTGCGCATCATGAGTGACAGCTGCACTACACTCCTGTTAAATCGTAAGCAGACACATACATTCCAAAAGGAAGTAAAAACGCAACAGAGACACTCAGTACCACGTATCTCCATTTCACTACTACTCACAGCAACCTAGAAGTTTCATCTAATTTAAGGATGCAGAGAACCGCCACATTTTAGAGCGGAAAGAAATATAGGAACACACGAAATAGCAAGATATTACAGTTCTACAAAGCCTTCACTTCCACAGAAGTGAATTCAAGTGCAGTACAACCTTGATGTTTTGAGACTCATTTCTCCAAGCTCCCTGCTTTATAAGACAGGGTTATAGACGCTGGTATTTAGAAACAAAAAGTAACTCCACAAAATGAAACTTGTTTATACAAGTTTCCTCAATGCCCCTTCTTTGTACTACAATGAAAAATAAACCCAAAAATGCCTAAGTAGTATTTCAGTACAATACCTTCATCATCAATCCACTTGAGGGTAATTGGCTGTTCCTGTTGTAAATTACACATCTCATGTACTTCGTCACACAGTTCATCATAGCTCATTGATGCGTCCAAGTTTGTTATCAGGATGTCCCTGCACGAGATGAAATCATCAGCTTTTGCCAGAAGAGATCTGCATTAGCCTGCATATGCCAACAATTCCATCTATGAACTCACAGCATTCCTCATATAAAATGCTCCTACTAACACAAATTAGTTGCCAGAAGCCAACAGGATCATATCTCACAGTATTTAACTTCTTAAAAATACTTTAGTAAGGAGGAATTAACTGTGTTAATAATCTATCTTTAATGCATATTTACTTGGGTGAGGCAGGTTCCCTTATAATATAACTATCACCATTTGAAGTGTTATTAAAAAACTTAAGATTTTGTAAGAATTAAATTTTATCTCCTGATGAAACAAGTTCCAAAATAGGTAAAATCTCAATTACTGCAAAATCCTTTCAAAACATAGGTTTTTCCTCACTTTGCTACATTGTTAGAGAGAAAGCTTTGATTAGGTGAATACTCAAAAGATATCATTACAAGAAAATTCAGATCAAATCTTACTCAAATTCTGCATTCTGTGCTCTACCTTTATAGTGTTTGAGAACTCAAACCCAATATTGAACTCTGCTCATGTAAACCACACAGTATGCTCAGGTATTCGTAAGAATAACTTTCGATATAATGAAAGCTCTCACAGCACTGTCAAAGCAGGACAAAGATTGAAAAAAAAAAAAGAGAAAAGAAAATATTATGCAAAACAAAATCAGAGAGTACAAACTAGACTTTCTCCTGTTTTCTAAACATTTTTCAAATGACAGACTTAAGGAAACCAACTGATAAACAAGTGCAGGAAGAAAGAGGAGATGTACTTAAGTCACCTCTGTGCTTTCAAAACATGCTAGAGGATAATTAGGAAACAGTTTTGTAGTTAATGGCTACTGGCATATGTAATTCTTTCCCCTCTTAATTTAACACAGTAAATATACCAGAAGTTTCCCAACGTGACAGTTTTCCTGTTTTCATACTGTGTGACAAGACAATTTAGAAAACATGCTATATTACATACTTTGCCTACTTAGGTCTTTCAAGCAGAAGCTGAAAGGTACTACACTGAACTAAGAATCGTAAGTTCTGTAACTTACGTTTTAAGTGAAATGCACTAATAACTTTGCTAAGAAAAGTTACAGAAAGCAAAGCTCTAAAACAATAATTTTAAAGAATGGTACTAAGTCTCAAATTCAGATTAAAAGCATTGCTACCTTTTCAAGGGGACCTTTAATCTACAATTTGTGAAGTTCTCCAAGAAGAGCAACTTAATTTCTATTTCGATTGTTGTTAGGAAGAATATGTACACTCACTGCCAACTCTTAAAACCATATTATTGTACTGAGAGTTGTCAGGTGAGGTTGATTTCAAGAACATCACTCTGTCAAAAAAAGACATATTTTAGACACTTAAAGTAAGAGACCAAACCAGTTCTCAAAGTAGTGTTTGAGTCTGGTGCAGTGTCTTGCACCAAGACAAGGTCACCACACAGCTCCTTACTTAATGCGCTGCCGCCACAAGCTACTCATGGAATCAAGCAGCTATAGATCTATGGTAACTATAGACAATCACACTTTCAAAACTACCTAGTTAATATTCAAAACCTGAAACTATGGAGTAAGACAATACTCCACTATGCATGCTACAAACTCCAACTAAAGCTGACAAATACTAATCAGTCTTACATTAAAATTATCATAAAAGATGGCACTGCCATTCTACAAGTAAATTAATAAACTTCATATTGGACAAAATAACACAGCTGAAGTATGCTAAATAGCACCTATTGCGGATGCAAACACTAGTAAGATTTATTGACATTATTATCTCCATGATATCCATGTTCCTTTGAGATGTCCTGCGTTTAATCTTAATGTCTGTATAGCCACTGTATTGCCATTAGCTAAATGAAAATCATTCATTCTTTAACACCAAAGAATCCCGCAGGACACTTTTTTGTCAGGTATCTGAAACTGGATGCTACAAAGTACTATGAAGAACTAATGACAGTAAGTTATGTATGAGCAGTTTTATAGCAAGAGAGTCATTCACATTGGTAGATTAAATGCATCACCATTTAGAACCAAGGTAACATACAGCAAACAATATCGCATCACTGCTCTATTTAAATGAAGTGATTTCAAGTAACCAGGTATAAACCAAATAAACGAGGTAACTGAAATAATGGAATGAGAATTACACAAGTTTACTTTCTTTTGCAATCTACTTATGCAGTTATTTATACTGTGCTATGTTAGGAACTCTGTCACACCCAGAAACACGAATACCTAAGATACTAGGACTCCAGAGATAGACTCAACATTCACGTGTTTTAGAACTTCCTCACGCTTTGATTTTTAACTGGGATTTCAAAATTATATGTTGTATTATTATTTTAATTTTTTTAAGCAGCTACCTGAATAAGCTTGTCCTTAATTCTGAAGTTGCCCAGCATCAATGATTTCCTGCAGTTTGTCAAAATTGTTTTAAAGACATGTAGTACTTTAATGGACATAGATAAAGTAATCAGCTATACAGTCTATAATGCCAAAAATAGTCAGCTCTTACTCACAGAATCTGATCAGTACAACAAAACCAAAATTCATTGAGTTTGGAATTCGTTTTGTAATTTGACATATTATAGGCTTCACAACTAATGGAAATTACTGAATATAATGTTGCAGGAGAAACTATAGTAGTAGTTTATTGTAAAACATCATAACAATTACACATGAATTCTAATAGTGAGACAAGTATTATCACCTCCTCCATTTATGCACAGACAAGTTCTATAGACACACTCCTTTCACTCTGTATCAACAGCATTTGGCAGCAAGCTATCCCAAATCGCTTACGTTAAGCTCTATTTGTGTTTATAGCGCCTTCCCTCTCAGAGCTCAGGCAGCTCTCCTGTTACTGTTTCAGAGAAGTGTGCATATCCATACATCTCACAGAAGTACATCACACAAGTATTTGAAGTTCAGATGTTCTTTTCAACCTAAGCCTATGTATGATGCGATCCAGAGGTGCAGGAAAAAACTATGAAGCAGAAAATAATTACTGGTAATGGCAAATACACGGTGCGAATCCCTCACCCAGAGTTCATAAAGCAGTTGACATGCATCTATTAATTAACCATAACCATGGTGCAGATTAATAACAAAACCTAATTGATCTAAATTAACCATTAGGAGCACATTTCAAGAATTAATGAGCAGCGGTAACGAAGAAACACAGCATGTAGTCCCATTTACTTTCATACATGGATTTCTTGTAAAATAAGTTTTACTTTAAGTAAAGCAACAAATTTCTCAGCAACAAATGCTCAGACATGAGTTTTGACATGAATTCTCACCACTAAAAGCTTATCTATATTTTTACTAAGCAATTTTTCATATTAAAATTTAACCTGTAGATAAGAGAACTGTAAAGAGATTCTAGACTTTCAACTTACAGGTGGCAAAATTAAGACAAAAATCAAATGACTAGGCATGAGGAAAGAATTCAAGTTAGTAGCCCTGCTAGAAACTGAAGTTCACCTACCTGATCTGACATTAATTACAAAGCCACCAACGCCCTGGTTACCCTATCACTACGTCAGGCTATGAACTTCTGCTCAATGTGCTTCAGAGTTAGTCAGGACACAACACAGAGGAGAAAACATGCTGACTTACCCACTATAGTGTGTTTTTACTCTGATGAAGTCCTTGTTCAAATCAATTTTTGAGCCCATTCTGCTAGGCATGGTCTGTATTTAGCAGTCTATATGAAATTATAAATATTTAGCAATAAGTTCATTGAAAACAGATAAGTCGTTTAATTCTTAAGCAAACAGCTTCACATATGAAATATGCATTTCTCCTCCAAATGATTGTCAATCCAGCTGCACAGAAAGAAAACCAGAATACAGATGAATATACACACACTCTACTAAACAAACAAGTTGTGTCAAATTTCATAAACATAAATAGCTTTAGGTAGAACAGCAAGAAATCAAATGGAAAACATACAAGACTACTGACCTGCACAAAAATTAAATGAGATCAGTTAAAAATATCCTATATGATTTAGTTTTACAGAAATATCCCAAGCATCCAAGGATTATTTTTTTTTTTTAATAAAACATCCTACAGTTCCCTCTTGGCCAAAAATATTACAAAGAAATCTTTACTTATTCATCCACACAGCTTCTGGCTCTTTTCTTCCAAAGAGTAGAGTATTTCACTTCAAAATAGTCTTTATATACATAGAAGACCGCTATCAATTAATGTTGGTTGCAAATCTGCCCACGAAAAGCCGAAGAGGAACTCCAAGGGACAACTTAAGTTAACTTTACAGACTGACAAACATCTTGTTTATTCAAAATTACCACCTCCTTCCCTTATGCATATATATACACACGCACATATGTATTTCGAGAGCTCCCTAACCCCCCTGTCAAGGGAGCAGGGCCGTCGGTACCAGAGATTGCCCCTTCCTCCTACCTGCTCCGACCGAGAGAGGTCCCACCCGACACCGGGTCCCCACCGGTCCCGCCGAGAGCAGGGGACGCCGCGGACCCGACGGGAGCCTCTCTGCCCGGGGCCCGCCTCTCC